TAGCCGCGCTGATCTCTGGCTGCGTGATCCAAGGCCTTTGACGCCGCTGTCATCGCTGGGATCAGCGGGGTGCTCGTCAATTGGAAGTCGATCGAAAGCTATCATTTGCTCCTCCAAGAATGCGGCTGAAGCGAGTCCGGCGAGCTACAAGGAGTTCAAGCTCTCGGATTTTTCGCTCTGTCCTCACGTTAGCATCGGCTTGTCAGGGAGAGTGAGTATTGTTTTAATGGTAGTCTTCTTTCTGACTTATAGAACTTTGGTTTGGTTTTCTTAGAGCGATGAGCTCTTGTTTGAAGGAGTGGTGCAAAGTCCCAGCAGGTTGATTCACTTCGTGATTTTATTTTCTGGCAATTGAATCTTAAGATTTCTTTTGCAGTGACTTGAAAGGCATGCGAGTGGTTCTCAGGCAATTAACCGGTGCTCGAGCTCAGCGTAGAGGAAAACGAGCTCTAGAGGTCAGTACTTTTCTTTGTCGCTCGAGAAAAAAATCTTTGACAGCCTTTCAGATAGTCTCCAAACTGATTTGTAAGCAAGATATATTTCATTCTTATGCGACACGAGTGCATGGCTTTATTCCGTCGTCCGACCAAGATTCTCTAACGCTTGTCCATGGTGTAAGTTCTTCGATAATTTCTCACTCCGTTGTTCTTGACGAAGAAAGTTTTCTTTGCAGTACTATGGATGCTCTTTACACCAATGGCTACTTTGTGTGGACTGGCTGCCAAATCTCGAGCAAAGGCTTGCACTCGGCGAGGAAGCTGCTCGAAGAGTGGGAGATCATACAACTGGTGGCCCGGAGGTGACTCGACAACTTCGACTTGTTCGAATGATAATGCGCGACATTTTAATCGGGGTAAGCTTCTGATTTCATGGTTTTTTTTTTCGTTGCTTCTAATCGACTGTTTGTAGGTAAACTATTTACATAGCCAAGGTCTTGCTCACACTGAATTACGATTGAACAATATTCACATTAGTGCGGCCGATAGGCATGTCAAGGCAAGTAGCTTTCGTGATGGGAATTTAACCAAGAGTTGGAATGCACAGGTTGGAATTTTAGCAAATGCAGTAGAATTTTCCGAAGTTGATGATCAAGTTACTGTGCCATCTGGGAGTCAGCTCAAGAATCGTCGCAAGCAAATCATCGCTTATGACATAAGGTAAAGGCTTTTTCTTTAGAAACCTGAGGGTTAACGTGAAAAAGCTACAGATGCGTAGGCTATGTGATGGCACGAATGGTCCTCCGGGAACTCATGGATCCTTTAATTTTTTCGCACTTCAAAACCTTTCTTAGAAAGGTTCTCTCGTTTCTACGGTGAGAAACGCTCTTACGCCGCGTTGTTTAATACAGGGCCATGATCCTGTAGGCCTCCGTGAGTTCCTCCTCCCCCATTTACTTTCCAAATCGCCTTCTGGGAGCACAGGCTTACAGGTTTGAGTCGGATAATTTATCTCTGGTTAAAAACTTTTTTTCCTTTTGTAGATTCTCGATAGAGATGGTGGCGCTGGCTGGAATTTGTTAGCAGCCATGCTTGCTATTGATCCTGGAAACCGAATCAGGTACCTTTGTATCGACCATCTCCTTTGAACGACGAAGATAGGCTTATAACTGTTTCGTGTTTACGACAGTTGCACAGATGCATTAAGGCATCCGTTTCTGTGTGGACCAAGGTGGCCAGTGAATTCCTCCATTGATATGATACGCTGGAGTCTAGGCTCCGCTGCGATTAGAATTGTAGAAGAATACATTTACATGACTCATCAGGTACACTCACAATTTATATCTTTATATCTTCTAAAACAATGCTACCAGCGAAACAGGCTAGCACAACTCATTGATCTTCTAGAACGAGTCAATTTCACGACAAGACTCGAGGTAAAAGATCAGAGCTCCAGTCAAGTTGATATTGATATTGATCTACAGGATTGGATGAAAACGCTACCAGGAAAATGGAGGCTCATCTATCACACAAGCAGGCAAATTGGACTTACAATGCGACAGGTAAGAAATTCTCATTCTCAAGGAGTAACTTTCATCCCTTTCTCCAACAGGCTTCTCCGCCAGTTCTCATCAAAGACGTAATGCAAACCATCTCCGTGACAAGCCAAACTCTCGCCTCGACAGTGGACGTGACCTTCACAGTGCTCCCGAGCGACACAAACTGGCCTCACGACAAGTCTGGAAACAGCGGCCGGATCCAAATCAACGCCACAAACATCCAGCTCCGGCAAGGCGAGCGCCTCTACCAAACGGACACCGAAGTCATCGACCAGAGCCCGGCGCTGGAGAGGCTGCGAGAAGTGGAGAGCTCGGCAACCAGAAAGCGCAAAGGACTGGGCCACTTCCTCCCAAAGGACGCGCCAAAGTCGCTCCCCATCATCCGGCTGGACGTGGACGAGTTCGACATCGGCATGGAGCTGGAGGAGGCGCTGCCGGACGCGGACTTGGCCCGCCGGATCGTGCAGGAGGTCCGGCTCCAGCTCCCAAAAGAGATCTTTGCAGTGTCCAAGCTCGCCTGTGCGACTTACGTCGACTCGCGGCTGCTGGTCCTGCGTGGTATCACTGGTGCTGCGTTGCTGTTCATCAGGTCCCCCATGAAATAGAGAACCAAACCTTGTTCCGTGCTCTACCTGTGTACTCTTTCTCGTTTTGTCCTCGTAAAGGCGTAGCAAACTCGTCACTCCGGAATCGCGAGTACTCGCGAGCTCGCCTCTTCTGTGAGTGGAACGTTTCTATGCAATTACAAACTAACAGCTATAGGTGTTAAAACATGAAGAAAGTCGAGGCTAAATAAATTTTCCCTACGTTTTCGTGAAGCTTTACCGTTTGAATACTTCGCCAAAATAAAAATCTCTGCAGCTAGCCGCGTTGTGTTCTTCATCACCTCTCACTAAAACAACCATATACCACGGCATGAACAAGCAGCGACTGGAAGCGAGAAAACGAAAAGAGAAGGGATGGATGTCTACCTCAAAATTATTTGCTCCGCTGGAAGCTGGCCGGGATCCAGACGATCCAGGAGGATCTCGAAGCGCAGCAGCCTGTCAAGCTTCCTCGTCTTTGGCCTGCGTCTTCGCCTTGCTCTCGTCCTCCATAAGCTGGACCGCCGCCACCACCCGGAAGAGCTTGTCTCTCGGAATGTCCTTGGCGCTCAAGGTGACCCCGACGTGGGACTTGCACTTCCTCTGCCCCGTCCCCGTCACGCACTGCAGCCCGCTCGACGTCCGCATGAAAAGCTTGGCGGCGAAGCGCACCACCTTTCGCTGGTCCACGTACATATGCGGCTGGAAGGGATACGTGCATGGCCGGCAGTGCAACGCAACCCACCAGGTCTCGTCCCCGGTGCAAGACATCGTCACCTTCCACCTCGAGCCCCCGAAGAACACGTCCTTCTCCATGTTTGAGCAGTACCACGCCTTGTCCGTGAACGTAAACTCCGTCCCGAATCGAAACGGCGGGAAGTCGCTCATCTGCATCCCGCTGTGGAGCTTCGCGGACCAGCTGAATCCCCCCGTGCTCTTCCTCCTCTTGCCATCGAACGAACACTCGTCCACGGTTGAGAAAGGCACCAGCGTCGCGGCACTGCTCGCTGCTGCCCTGTCCAAGCCGGAGTCCTCACCGCCGCTGCTCGCGTTGCCGGCCTCGTCCTCGTCCGGGCTGCTCCAGTCCGACTCGCTCGACTCGGAGGAGCTGCCGGACACGCCCGACTCGGAGGAGTCGGAGTCTTCTTCTTCCTCCTCGCAAGGTGTGCCTCCGAGCACCCGGGTCTTGAGCAAAACGTTCTGCCATATCGCGTCGTTGACGACGTCCGTCGGCATGTTGGCGTCCTCGAGCTCTTTTCTCGCCTGGAGCCCCTCGTTGGCGTCCATGTAAGCAAAGGTGATGCCCCCACCGCAGAACAAGTCCATCACCATCTCAAACCCGTCCTTTGATGAAACCTCTGCTGCTTCCTCGGCCGTGTCTTCGTCCCAGAGCCTTCTCAACATTTTTAGCGGGGTCGAGCTCAAATCCTCCTTTTGCTGCGACGAGGCGGCTTTCTGCTCGCTCGAGGCCTCGCCTTTCTTCTTGGTTTTGTCCTTGGAGCTTGGCTTGCTGCCTTTGTCCTTGCTCTTGCCCGAGGCTGTTTTGGCGGCCTTCCTTGCGGAGTTCGACTTTGCAACCCGCTGCCTCTTTGACGATCCACCCTCCACATTGGAAGGTCTCCGCGAAAGCTTCCAGTCTACTAAAGCCTGCTTCGCAAGCTTGTATCTCTCCGACTCGTTCGTCACCCAGAGCTCGTCAGACTTTAGTAGCCGGCAAAGCAGCTGGAAAAAAAAAAATCCATCAGAACTTTTCACAAACCAAAAAAACTTTTCAAAACATTCTCTAGCGGGAAAGACATACAAAAGGAAGGAAGAAACACGACTTACCGGAAGAGAAAGCTTGGATAGTACGTGGGAGAGCTCTCGAGCAGCATGGAAACAAAGGTAGCTCCAGCAGGCATCGCGAATTCCTTCAGCATGGTGTCCATAGCAATGCCGCTCCGACAGCTGCTGATAAGCCAGGAAAGTCTCCACTCTGATATCACTCACCATGAACTGGACGCACTGCTCGCACAAATTCTCGATGCACAGGAAGCATCCAGCCGCAAGAACGCCCACCGCATTCTCGTTGCTAAACGCCGGCTCCACTCCATACAAGTACGCAAACGCGATCTCCAATCCCTCCACCGTCACATTGTGATCGTCAATCTTGAGCTCCACGCGCGGCTTACCGGATTCCTTCCAGGGTCCGGACAGCAGCGATTTGAAGTAGAGGCTCTGCGAGAGGATGATCCGGTGGAGCTTGTAATCCTTGCTCTGGAAGCAAACCGTGATGTCGGAGAAGAGATGGCCCTGGAGGCCATGGCGCTGGACGTGATCGCACAGCGCCGCGCCCGGATTCTCGAGCGCGCACATCGTCGCTCCTACTTCGCTCCCTGCCCTACCCGCGAAACCCTAGAAGCTTTTATACCACAGCTCGCTAACGGACTTTTTCACTCGTTTATTCTAACTTAGTGAATTCTATCAAATGTACAAAAGCTCGTTTTCTTTGCTTTGATCAATCCATAACGCTTACTGATTGCGGACCGCAAATGCTTAAGAGAACCTGGAGAGAAAAAAAGTTCTTGCGTGAGAACCAAGAACAAAGAAGAAGAAGAAGAAGAAATAATCTCGACTCACTGGAAGAAAGACGAGGCCGTGGAGAAATCCCAAAACCACCAAGCCGAAATACATTCGAAAGTAGTAGACCTGAGAACTCCAAGCTTAGAACAAATCAACCAAAAGCAAGTTTTAAATCGTTACCACAAAGATCTCCGAGCGAGCAAAGACGAGAACCACGACTCCGACGAGTTTGGTTAAGGTGATCCCACTGCAGAAACCAAGAAAAAAGATCAAACAAAGCAAGTGACAATGTTTTACCAGACCTGAACACGGAGGCTCCCATTGTTGTCAGAGCTTTTGTTGCTCGCATTGATCGATCGCCTGTGCTAACCGAGAATGCGTGCGTGATGTGAACGCAGAACTCCACGGCAATCCCCACGGACATGATGAGATTGACGACCGAAACAGCATTCAGCTGAATGGTCCAGATTGACATGAGCCCCTGTGACTCACAAGTTCATCGCGTTATGAAACAACCGAGAGTTTTTCACTTCGAGTTCTTACGAGTAAGTTGATGACTATCATTAAAATGACGAGAAGGATGATTCCTGCCGTAGCTAGGCTGCAGAAGAAAAAAATCCAGAAAAACGTTTTAGACCTTGCGAAAAGTGATTGATCACGAACCTGGTGGTCACAACTAGACAGACGAGGAATACGGCAGCTGAAATTCACAATTGCCACAGTTAGATTATACCAAGCAAGCCACAGAAACTACGAACCAACTGCGAGCACGAGGCTGATCAGTGTGTTCTTCCATATGTCTAAGTACTGCTCGAAGAAAATATAGAAAACTGAATATGGAAAAACTGATATCTGCACACGAACATTCATAAGAAAAAAGAAAACTTAAAGTTGTAAGTACTCACGTTTAGTGACTTGGACACGCGAGCGGTGAAGTCCTTCACAGCTCTCAACGCATCAATATAGTCAGTTTGTTTGTTGAGAGCTGTATGATAGGTGCGGAACTCAAATGCTCTAATAGTTCCATTCTTGTAACCTGTTCAAAGGACGAGATATAAGAACAAAACTAGAGATGATCTTACTCACCACTCAAGTTGAGGCTGTTGGAGTATGCGCCTCGACCTCCTTTCGAACAATCGGCAGACGGCAACGCGTCCAAGAACCATGGTAGTTTCTTTCTAAACTGCTCAGTGGTAGGACGCCCGTCGATCAAATCAGACTGGAGGAAGCACTACAAAAACAAAGATATGTCATTTGAGCACGCAATATAAATTTCAAAGCAAGATAAAACGTACCGTAGTGCAGTCCTTGCAAGTCTCACTCAAACCGCAGTAGTCCTCCCATTCGGGACAACAAGGGGGCTGGCAGAGTCAACAGCTCTCAAACCATAGAAATAAACTAGAAAGCACGATACCTGATCATCAGGAGGGCAGTAACTGCCGTCAGGGAAAGTACGACAACATCCAAAGGCATCCGGAGACAGCCAAACGAGAAAATCATCTAGCCATGAAGCCGCCGGTCTAGCTATGAAGCTTGTCTGAGGCGTAAGGGCGGCCCTCGAGACCTCGTTAAGCAGTGAGTCTGGATGGCAGTGACTGATAGAGCACAATTTGTTGGTCTGATTACTTCGTGCGCTGCATAGTCAAAGCTAGTTATTAGATGAAACTAGACGACAAAAACTGCGAACCTGTAGTTATAGTCTTGAACCACAAAATAGAGAGGAGGTCCTATTCTTAAATGACTTGTCACGTTATTGAAATAACCCTGCAAGAAACGTTCATAGATTCATTTCATACAGCATATCGCATTACCTGTAAGTAAGAATCCCGAGGAAGGACAATTTGTTGGTTCAGACCAGCCGGAAGCCTTACAGCAAGTGCCTTCATAACCAAGACGTGAGCAACAAGAAAAATTTCGTCATCATCTACTTACGATGCTCACTAGAAGTAGAGCAGAAAAAGCTGCCAGGACAACGGCCTTCACAGCAGGCTTGAGAAGGAGCGGTGCGTGCACTTTCTGAAACAAACACGCTGCAGTAGTTTTAAAAAAAGCGGAAATGTTACCTGCATATAAACAGAAACTAGACCAGCTCCTCCTTCCCCTCTGAGTCCTTCACGGTTCGCTGGAAAATGAAATTATGTCAAAAGCAGAGCACAGATGGGAACTACATACGGTATCCTGCATTGTAGTCACGCTGTCGGGCTTTGATACAAGGCAAACAATCTACGCGGTTCGCTTCAGTTCTCGTAAAGTCGTAAGTAAGAAGAGAAACAAAAGCCGTAATCTGAAGTAGAAAATCTAAGAGTATCGCAAAAGCTGCATTCAAAGAGAGTGTAAGTACAAGTCGGGAAACTTGCAACATTTACCCGCGAACATAGAAAACACACGGCAGGCAGGCATGGGCGTGAACGATCCAATAGCGAAAGCTAAGAACTCTGCAAGGCTTGCGAGTGTGATAGATGGACCTACTTCGGCAAGAGCATTTCCAACTCGAAGGTCGAGAGGAAGTTCAGGTTCCTGGCGTTTAAGCGCATGCACTAGAATACACATGTTGTCGACTCCCACCTGAAGCAGCATTTGATCAATTCTAATCTAACGGACCAAGTAACAATAGCTTACCGCAAGGACAAGAAATGGAATGACTTCAGCAATGATAAGCGTGGATTTAACACCAACAGCACTGAAAAAACCAACAGATCCTAGAACTGAGAGTGCAACAATGATAACCCCTCCTAAACCAAGAAACACCTGCAACTCAATGTTAATTTGGAGTCGAAGTTTCGCGAAACCAACCTTGGACGTGACATAAAACGGAGCAACTTCTGGTAATGAATCTCCCAAAGTGAAGGATATATACAAGAACATAACCAGATAGCTCACCTGCAAGCCATTGTTCAAGAAAATGAATCCATCATTGAAACACTTACAAGAATCGTTACAACATCCGCATAACTTTCTCTCTCTAGCTCGGACTGTACAGAGCTCTCAGACGAAAATGCGAGAGTCAAGTTGTGTGAACTTGCCAATTGCTGAAGCTCTTTCTGCGAATTTCATGGAATAGAACACATATATCGAGGTAAGTTCCTTACCTTTGCCAAACGCACAAAAGCCTTCTCCCAGGCAATAGCAGCATCATTTGCACCTTCGGTGCTGCTCACAGCATTGTTGACGGGATATGTTACAACAAACGCAGTAGCCTACGTATTCAGAGAAAATCATTAACACTCTCGAAGTTATTTTTATACCTGAGTATAATTTGTGCCTTCGAAACCACCAACGGCTGTACTAGGATCCACAGGCGACTGGTATGCACTGAGACAATTTTCCGAGGACGAGTAATGCTGAAAGAAAAATTAATCAAGTAAAAAAGCATATTAGAGAAACAGAAGCATCTCGAGTTTTTGGAGAAGTTTACATCAAAGCAAAATGCCGCATGGCTCGCTCCCTCATCGTCGTCAAATTTTTGGCGGTCCATCTTATAATACTGCAGCAGCAACACAAATTATTAAGAGTCAGGGAAGACAGTTGCGTACCTGCAGAACACTTTGCGTAGCACAAACTGTTCCGAAAGGTTTCATGCAAATATCTTGGAGAGAAACCGTTCTTCCAGAAAGGTTTCCTCTCAAATCGTCAACCTGCTTTTATGAATTACTGCGAGCACAAATCTAATAATTTTTACCTTATTTTGGATTTCAAACATAAGCTTAAGGTTGTCATCTGTCAAAATAGGAGGAGACACTCCGTTTTCATCCGGAAGGGTTGCCAAGATCAGCTAAAAATGCAAAGCATGAGTAGGCATGAGGCGATGCTCACGTTTACCTGTTCAATTCTATAGAAAGGAGTAAGCTCCGTATCAAAAAACTTTTTTTCTGTCGCTGCTGCGCTCCCGGGACTAACCCAGAGCTGCACGAAATATGTGAGTTTGAAAAAAAAAACACAAAAAAATGACTGAAATGCTTACGTTTTCAGGGTTCGTTTCAACATTCATTTTGACAAGCCCAATGCACAGAATTATGGTCACGAGTATCGACAGAAGCAGAACCACACCAGGGTGTCTAGCGATCCACGTTCCCTGCGACCTGGCGAGCGTAAAAGGTTATAACAACAAACCAATTAAAGCACGAGGCTCGCACCTGAACCATCTCGACAAAAACTTTTCCAGAACAGGTTCATGAGATTCAGGTGTGGATGTTTCGTCCTTTTCCAGTCCCTGCAACACACAAAACATGAGGTGATGAAGAACATGAATTAATGCACCACCTCAACCGGGGTAATTTCCACCCCATTCGTCTCTTCTGATTGCAAAAGTTCCTCTCTAATCTCTGCGTCAGAAGGTTCTTCGTAACGACGAGTAGTAACCCATAGCCAAGCCACAATTCCCACTAATAACAGAAGGTATAAGATTCCAAGCCCCAGGTCTATACATAGAATCTGGAAAGAGAAAAACGCTTGATACTGATGGGCACAATTTCTGATAAGATGCGAACCTTTGTCCCGCCAATTTCGACACTACAAGCGTTCTTCTGAGGAGATGGTGGTAAAGAGGATTCTGTACATTCCTTGGCCCCCGGGCAGTCGCCACACGAACAAGAGAGTGACGCATCCCAGCATGGAAACATTTTCGTGTTGAGGAGTGACATTGGCGAGGACTCGTTAGCTGACGTGTGGAACTTGATGTAATAAGGTGATCCAGGTTCATATAAATCAGCCTGCCGGCCAATAAATGCAAGCCACTCTACACAGAGAGTCGTTCTCAAGCCAAAAATGCAAAGAGAGAAAAAAAAAATACCTTTGTATGTTTTCGCTCCGCCACCCACAAAGTCCATTGCTCGAGTATTAAGAGCTCCAAATTGAACATCTTTGCAGGAGTTAAAGAGATTTACTCCAAACTCCTCGGAAAGGAAAAACTCAATGCCGTCTACAGTAGACGTGGTAGAGTTTTGCTGCAAACTGTTCGTTGGCAAAAGACAAATAGAAACGAAACGAACCTGGACCGTAGAAGTCACGTTAATAAACAGGCTCTGGTCGGGAGAGCAAGAGAGCTCACAAAAAAGATTAAGAAAGTTCCTCAAGCACGCAGGGCATCCAGTCAAAAAAGGAACAGCCTGCCAAAGTCGCGACTTAAGAGTAGCAGCAAAGCAACTCCAAAGTTTGTGCATCGTACCTGCTGAACTTGGCTCCGGAGAATATCAAACTGCTGCTCAGTACAACAGACATCTCCAGTAATAGTCGGGCAAAGGCTCTGGACTTTGTGAGAGAACGAAGAACTCGGCTGCAAAGAACAACCAATCCCATCAAACTTATCAAGAAACAAAAACGAGAACACAAACTTACCGTGACCGCAGGCACCGAAATCGGACAGTTCAACGCCTTTCCATCCTCTCGTTGTCCACAAACATCATACATTGCGCAGTGATTTTTCGCATGCTTAGCCCTGCGAAGAAAGATCAACTTTGCTGCTCTACAATCTAAATCCGACTTACAATCTCGTCTCTAGACGATCATTTACACTCTCAATCTCTGCCAAAGCCGCTGGAAATCGCCCCAAACCCTGGACACAGCACGAAAATCAGCTCTAGCCACACAAAACCCCCCATTCTACCCTAAGAAGCGAGCATCGATCGAGCTCAATCGAAATCCCTACCTCCAGCGCCAGTAGCAGCGCGAGCGCGACGGCGCAGCGCCATCCAATCGCCATAACCCTCCTCCCTCGCGTGCGCAAAGCGAGTATAAATAAGCAACGAATATGCCAAACGAATCCAAATACAAAACCTCTACCAGAATATGCCTTAACTCAAACGGAATATACAGCATCTTAAAAAGTTTATTCCGTTAACGATGTTAGAATTTAATATTCTTTGATATTCCAGAGATCACACTTTTGACCTTTGCCTTAGAATTCCACAGCAAAATCATCTTTTTTCTTTCCTTAGAACCATCCATAGCGCATCTCCAAGTACTTGTTCTTGATCCACCGGAAGCTATTCCTCACAGACGATTTCACCTTGCCTTCCACCGTGAAAACCTTGTAAGACGCGACCCTCTTCTTCCTCTTCATCTCCGGATCGTTGCGGAAATCCCACGATCGGCTGCTGGAGCTCTTCTTGTGCTCCTTGATCTGGTACCCAGCCTCCGGATTGTTGTAGCCGCTCGAGTACGAGGGCGCCGAGTGAGACGCCGAGGAATTCCTGTAAGAATCGTCGTGGTAGTAGTGCATACCACGATCGTTCGCAAGCTCCCCGTTCATAGCTGATGGAAATCCCTCACAGATTCCTCTCTCTGATCACCGCTCCTCGCAGATCTGTGCGATAATCACCGAAATCCCCCTGTTATCGATGATCCAATCCACAATCCAGCCAAGGATCGGAGCCATTACCTTCCGGCCGCCGAAGAAATCCGAGGGAGTGACGATGGATCGAATTTCGCATGGAGCCGGGCAGATCTGCGCTCCAGCCGCGCCGCGATCCTCCTCACGACCCCAGCGCCGTCGCGATCATCGTCACACAAAACCCTAGCGCGCGACTCTTGTGCTAACAAAGCTATCACTGTGCGTGGATCATTGCCCGTGGTTAACCCTTGTAACGCACGCGGCAAGCCGCATGGCCGGCGAGCGATCGCTTGAGCACCACTAGCGTTCCGCCACGTGTCTTGTACGCGCGAGACTTTTTATTTCAAATATTTTACCGGGTGGAGGGGGATCGATTCCGGCGACGAGTCACATCCTTTAGGGTTTGGTGATTTTGGCGATGCTGCCCTGCTCGAGGAGCGCCAGGCGAGGGCGAGGGCAGGAATCGCGGCGGCCATCGATCAATCTCCTTGACGACGGCTGCCTGGTGCGAGTTCTGGGATTCCTGGCGCCATTTCCAGGTGAAGATTTTGTTTTCCCACGCCGGGATTTCGTCAATGCCAAGCTCCTGCTCGTGTAGATCGCTTCAATGCCGCGAGCGTGTGCTCCCGGTGGCACAAATTGATCGCCGACTCCCGGATGTGGCTGAGGGTTCAATCGGCCACTGCTAACTCTAGTTACAATTCTTTTATTCAGTCGGGCGAGTTTGCAACTTTGCAAGACGCTGTCAATGCGGCCAGGTCTGGGAGTTTTCTAGTTCATACTTTTCGCGATTCTAATGGATTCTTCTCTCTTTCTCATCAGGCCCGGAGACACGATATTTATCGAGCCTGGAGAAGTCCACGCAGTTGCAAACGTTGCCATTGACAAGCCGCTGTGCTTGGTCGGTATTTTTGCAAGTTTCTTCTTTCTCCAACGTATGAGCACCCCGTTTTGTTGTTGGCATTTGGATTCTTAGATGGGTGGAGGCTCTTCTCCAGAGGAAACGGTGCTAATCTCCCCCAGTGGTTCCGAAAGGTCGTTTTTTTTTAATTTCCTTCTTCTCCTTTGCGAGCGAGAAGTTCGATTTCCTGTTTCTAACGAACTCGAGCACTCACTTTGCAGCGCGTTGGTCTTCTCGGCAAACGGCAAGATCGCCAACCTGACCATCAAAGCGGAGCTGGGGAGCTGCTTGCTACACAGGCGTGGCAGCCTGACGGTGGATCGCTGCGCCCTCGAGTGTGAGGAGCATCCTCTCGAGTACCTCTCGTGTCCGATCGTCACAACTGCGGGTGGCCTAGCAGCGCATCATCTCCCAGGCAAGAGCGATGGCTTGTCCGTGATCGAGACGCGGATAGTGGGAGGGACTTGCGCTGTGAAAACGGTGGGGAGCCTCGTCTTGCAACAGGTGCGCGTGTTATACTCGCGGGCCGCCGTGATTTTCTGGTTCACAGTGGCTCAACAAAGCAAGAGCGCGAGCTCCATAGGAGTGGCAGCAACAGCGTTTGTGCATGCCTCGTGATCTACTTGTAATCTTGTGCGTAATTTCTCTAACAAATGTAGAGTTTTTAACTATAATCGAATCACTAAGTAGGGGATCTCATGATAAAGCATTTCCAACGTTGAGCTAGTGAAATTTCTGTCTTGGGACCTCTTTATACTAAAGGTAACTTATCATTAGTTAAAGTTCGAATAGCATAAAAAAATTTAAATTAGGTTAAAATCATATAATTTAAAAGTTCTAATTTAAAGGTGGGTGCTTAAGTTAAATTTCTACTTTATTCGAATAATACAGAGTTAAACACCCTCTAGTTCTTTCTTGGTTCGCTGGATAACGCGAACTGGGATTCCTCCCATGTTAAAGTCCTCGCGAATGGCGTTGGAAATGAATCGAAGCTCGTGATCTTCGAGGCTGTAAAATCCCGCCACGAACAATACAAAAGTTGGAGGTCGGGCCTTCACCTGCGTTATGTACCTCGGCTTTGCTCTCTTCTCGTCTTTTCTCTTGGGATGTCGAGCAAGCACCTACACATCGCGATGAAACAAATCATGATCACACCAACAAAGCCAAACAAAAGGAAAGAAAAAAGAAAAACCAACCTTGTGAAGCCAACGATTCAGTCTCGGAGTCGACACCCTCGTACACCACTTGTCATAAGCCTCGAACGCGAGCTTCATGATCGTCGATCTTCCACGCCCCTTGAGAGCTGAGACAAAGATGATAGGAACTCCAAGCACCTGTTGAATGCTCGTGATAAAAAGATTGCAGCCTAAGGAAGCACTCCAGTACCTGAGGAAGCGTAAGCTGGATTTCTTTGGGAACTGCCTCCATGAGTTTCTTCCTCAGGTCGGCATTCTTTTGACCTTTGAGAACGTCCATCTTGTTCACGACGATGATAAGTGCGCGGCCTTCGTCGGTCACCCATCGTGCCAGTGCTGCCTCGGAGTTTCGAAGTGTCATCTTTGAATGTGCGATCTACAATCCAAAGTTACAGAACAGTGAGAAGGTAAAAAAAAAGACACACACACACACACAGAGAAAAGAAACAAAGGAAAAACCTCTTGCGCGTCGAGTACTATTGCCACCACATGAGCAGTCATTAAGCTTCTTCGAGCGAGCATAGCACTGAGAGCCATGGGACCTTCTTCCAGCTGGGAGCGTTGAATCCATCCAGCAGTATCAACCTGGAGAAGAGAAGAACGTTACGGATTTCTATACAAACGAAAGATGCTAGATTACCAGACGCACTGGCTTCTTGTTAAACTCAAAGTCAATCGTGATGGCGTCTCTCGTAAGCCCCGGCTCTGGTCCCGTGAGAACTCGCTCTTTTCGTAGTAGTGAGTTTATCACTGTGGATTTCCCAACGTTTGTTCGACCAGCGATGGCAAGACGCAGAGGCTTTTGGCCTCCTAAGCTCTTCTCTTCCTCTGTCACAAACGATAAACACAAGTTAGAAAAACAAGGAGAAGAAGAAACGTCTCACCTTCTTCTTCCTCGACGAGCTTTTCTTTTGCGGCATCCAAAATCGGCTGGAGACGTTGGAACAAATCAGCCAAACCTTCTCCAGTTTCTGCTGAAACCGGGACAGGATCCCCAAGCCCGAGGCTATAGCTTTCCGCGATGTTTGCCATTATCTGGTGATCGCCTGTGATTTTCTCAGCTTTGTTCACCACCAAAACAACCGGGAGATTCAAGTTGAGTTTGCGAAACCACATGACAGCCTCTTTGTCCAGAGGGCTCACACCGGCCCTGAAAGAAAGAACAGAAAAAATATTAAAGCTTTGCTGCGAGAAAGAAAAGGGAAAGTTTCACCTCCCATCGATCAGAAAGAGAGCGGCATGGCAAGTTCGAAGAAACGTTGCTGTTAATCCCGTTGTCCTCGCAAGAACAGTCGCGCCTTCTTCGGAGGTTTCCAGCCCGGCCGAGTCGAAAACTTTGAAACGCAAGTCCGAGAGCTTTGCGGAGCCTTCGCGAATGTCGCGTGTTACATGGCTGTCCGGAGTATCATACACAATGGCTTCTTTCCTGTGTACAAGCCTGCCAAGGAAAAGTTTTGAGAACCTCCGACGGATCCAAAACCAAGAGAAAAATGAAGCATCTCACCTGTTGTATAGCGAAGATTTACCAACATTTGGCCTTCCAAGGATGATCACACTCGGCATAGGCTCCACAGCACGCTTTGCCTCTTCCTCGATCTTCTCAAACGAGATCCCTTCCTCGAGAATCTCTTCCTCCTCAGACTTTGCCAGAGGAACTTCATCGTCGACCAGTTTTTCTTCATCCTGTCCTCCAGAAGTTAAGGAGGGCGCTCCATCTTCGTCGCTCTCTTCTCTTTTCTCGGGCATGGATTCTTCCTTCCCGCTCGAAACATCCACACTCTTGAACTTAGGATTAAGTGCCGGGACTGCCCTGGAGCGAGGAAATGCGGCCAAGCTGGCCGTGAAGAACGACCTTTCCAGCTGCTGGGGATGGTCTTGGACGGATGTAAACGCCGTGAATGGCTTGGGTTTGGAGCTTGACACGGTTGTCTAGAAGGGCCTTAGCAGAGCCAAGTGGGAAGATTTAGCGCTTGAAGGAAGAACGAGGAAGAAGGACTCACCCGGTGCGCCATCCATTCTAACCGCCGTTTGATCGCTCTCCTCATTCCAAACCCTAAACCCCACTAAACCCTAAACCGTCGTTATTTTAAATTATATTTTCAATCCAGACACAATCTCTATCTCAGCCTTCCACGGCATCCCAGAAAGACGGCCTTACGTTGAGTGGTCCTCTTCACAAACAAATTAAATCAGGTGGCAAGAAGCAACAAGACTTGACTCTGAGGCTAAACCTTTGGAAAGGTGGCATCTTGGAAATTACATGCCATGTGACAAACCTTTGGAGAAGTGGTACCTTCAAAGGCTCTATCAATGCAGATCTATTTATCCCTTGTGGAAATCTTATGCAGCTTTGAGCAGTTTCATCATCTTCAGTGCCACTGGGAATTTGTACAATGTGACACTCTGGACTGTGATTGCCTAGACTTTGGCCGCTGGCACATATACTACACAAAGTTAAGAATGGATTGTTGCTCTCTAGAAACTCTCACACAAACTCTAACTAATGGTTGCATTAACTTATGCTGCCAGAGCTCTAACACAGTCAAAGATTTCATAAATGTTTTAGGTGAGAAAACCACACAAAGCAAGTTTTACCCTAGATTGGAAACTTGGATAGAAATATTTCTAATAAAATAAATAAAGTAGATTTAGGTTACATATCTAGCAAATAATTGTAAATAAATAATTTCTAAAAAATTTAATTTAATTAAACATTAGAAAATCCTAAAAACTAATGTAAATATATTTACTATCAGGTTCACTATTTAGTTTTTGATATTAAAAATATAATATCTTTCTTATATAAAACTTAAATAATTTAACTTACATACCAAGGATGAGACTTAACACCACCCGTAATAACTGTAACTTAAGCTCAAGATCGCCAACATGCACAATTAGACCCATCTCATCCCACACACATGCATGTGTATAGCCATTGCCATAAAAAATGAAAATTAGTTCTATTGCATGACACAAATGTAGACAGCAATGTGTGGAAATAGGCCAAATAATAAAAGATAAACTCAAATCTACATCTACCAACATAACAAGAATAATATGAAACATCTTATTATAAGAACAAGCTTAGAAAGTAAACACTTGATGAATTAGTGCTAAATGAACCCTTAATAATACTCCTGAAAGAAAGATGAAAGGGTCACCAACTTATTCATACAAAAACCTTTTACTACTCACGTGATTCTTCATTTCCCAAAAGTATCACAATGTTTAAACTTTCCATTGCAGTAGCACTAATAGGACATTATTGGAGCCAAGGTTTCCACCCAGGAAATAGAGATTGCCAATCCGGAAATGCTAACAATGTTAATAAGTGTGATCAACTTCATCATACGCCTGACAACAAACATCACACCCATGACCACATCTTCACTCTTGTCTTTCAACTCAAGTAGCAATAATATCAACTTTCATTGGAGTAAAACTATCTTTTACAAGAAGTGGAGATGAAGGACGTGCAATGAAAAGTGAAAAAGGTAATATTTCATAATGTTTTATTATACAAAGAGCATCGTCAAGAGTAGTTGGAGCAAGTGTATGCACAAGTTCTACAGGATCCTGATGAAGTGTTAACCACAACATCCCTAACTTGATTCGTTTCTACATATTTAACTCCACATGAAGTAAAAGGCTTTGGAAACAAATGCCAAATTACATCACTGACTCATATGGCCCTTGACAAAAATGATACAATTGTTGGAAGGCATTATTATAATTGTTAGCATATCCCAATGCACATTTAAAGACATCTAGGATAATGTTTTAATCCTCACGAGTGGCTACATTTAAACTATTACACTATTGAAGTGTTGTCCCTTGGAGACACATGGGAAACTCATACAAATGCCAAGTATCATCCCAAAAATGATATGTAACATCGTAAAGTGATCGAACCAATAGTACATATCATCCCTAGGACTCCCATGGAAGAACTCCTATTAAACGTGAGGATTAGTATTAAGAGAAGGAGGAGATGTACCATGTATCGTGAATGTTATCATTTATTGAGTTTGATTGTTCAATTATAACCACATAGTATCAAGGAATTGCATCAACTACTGCTCCAAAGTCAAAGAAAGAGGAGGTTGTTGCTCTACTATGAAGATGAATAAAAAAAGGACAAAGTAATAGATAAAAAATTTAAAAAATTATAAGGAAAGGGAGATTTAGACAATGCGAAAGCTAAATCTAAATTAAAATCCCAAATTTGAACATTTCTCAGTGACAATCAAAGTTACTCCTCATCTCCGCTAATGTGATTGCATAGAATATAGAAATTGAATATAGAAATGTGCATATTAATTATCCCAAAAGCCTTAGTTTATATACAGTAGTGAGTGGTCCAGATTGAAACTAATCATTATGCTAATATTAGTATACAGCATACACTCCTAATTAAGCTATATAGAAAATAAACTTTTCTTATATTAAATTTTATCAATGGTTAGATTAATAATTTTTAAATTAATTATACTGTTAGAATCTCTCT